ATTATGAGAGCACAACGTTCGATCCAGCCTCTCACGAATACATGCCATGCCCATCCGTTAATTGGTCTAGGTGAATTGATCCCCCTGGTACACAGGGTCATGGAGACCAAGGTCCTGAATGAATTCACGAAGGCTAAGAGTTTGCGATAAACTCCAGGCATTCCCCCCATCCTTTTTACTCTCATGAAGAGTCGTGTTAAAATCACCTATGACCATGTAGGAGAGCTGGATGGTAGCACAAATTTGCTGCAACTGAGCTAACTGAGTTGCTCTTATTGATGAATTACAGCTAATGTAAACAGGAACCACCACATAAGAAAAATCACTTTCATTAATTTGGGTGCAAATACAAAAATTGGAATGGAAAAACACCAAATCCTCAACTTCGGGGGACCAAGCAACGACTAAACCACCCGATGCATCAATCGCATCCACAAAGAAACAACAAGAAAGCTCAAAACATAATCCGCGCATACGACGGGACACTACTCTACGGCTCGATCGTGTTTCTGAAAAAAACACGAGATCTGGTTTATTGGAACGAACTAAACCAACAACAGTTTGGAATGTGAGGGATGGTCCAATTCCTCTCACATTCCAGGCTAGAAGTCTCATTTATGTTATTGGGGTCACTTTAGGCTGGCTTCCTCCACCTTTTCCATTTCCATTTTTTCCTCCACAAATTCCTTCTTAGGGGTCGGGGCCTCCTCAGCAGTACCATCGATATCGTCAAAAGTACGCTTCAAACCACCGCCCGATGATACCAGAAGATTGGATCCATACTCATTAAGGCCAAATTGCTACACTTCCTCCTCAGTCACTTCTTGTTGCTTCGTCCCCCCCAGAGGATGCAGGTCTCGTCTACCTGGTCCGCTGCCCACATTATTCATAGATAACCCTTTCTCAAAAGCCTAGACCACTTGGTGAACTCGTCCCGCCTGGGTAAGGCGCCTTAGTTGTTTCTTTTTTTCCCTGGGTCGCCGCTTGAGTTCAAATAGGTGGACATCCTCCTCCGATATCGTCTCCTCCGAGCCACCTAGAGCGGCCTAGTTCTACCCCAGTATCAGACAGTGCATCCTCTGCATTGGGAGAGCTATGCGAGGGGGCACACATCTGTAATGGCATAGCATCAATAATCATCCTCTGCATAGGGTTCTTCACAATTGGTGGAGGAGTATTTGGTATGCCACCTCTGGCTTTCTTCGACGCAGCACGAGTGGGAGGAGTTTCAAGCCTCAATTCTTGTGGATTCGAGGTACCCTTGCGGTTACCACGATTACGTCGCTTCAGGCGTTCTGGCTTCCTGGGATCCCCCTCGACCTCATTTTCTTCCTCGCAAGCTGGCATGGGCACTTCATGCACCACAAACTCCTCTTCTGACTCTTCTTGCAAAATAAGCCTCATGCGTCGACCCTGTTCTTGGGCAGTAGCCATAACTGGGGATCCAGGAGGGGGCTGCGGGGCATTAACATGCATTTTCTTCCTCGTATGCCTGTCTCGACGCTCCTGCTTTACTCCCCGCCTCGAGGTACGCAATCTCTCCTGCTTCTCGCTCCTCCGCCCCACTTCCACAGTACTCGGGTTGGAGACTTGGAGTTATGATCCCTGGTACTGAGACCCTTTTGGCCATATCCCCCAAGTACACTCTTAGGAGTTTTGGACATAGGGAATCGGAGAGGGGAATCTCCCTTGGCCTCCTTGCGGTTCCACTTTCATGAATGGGTGGGTAGAGGTACCCATCCAAAGCGGACTGCTCTTGGTAACTGGCCGCTCCTTGGCTGCCACATCAGGCTGTTTCCCCATCCTATCTTCACCACGGGCAGCAGCATATGAGCGATTGTTGTCCTTGTCTCTTTGCTCCCGGTGGTCATTGTTAATCCAAATCGTTCGAGGGGGGTAGGCTCGAGCGCCCTCCTCTGCATCAAAGATTTTTCGGCCCATCTTTTTGGTCACCATGTGTGGACCAAATCTTTCCTTCCCCGAGGGGGGGTTCAAATGAGCAGCTCTGGCGAGCATGACCCACCCTCTCGCAATGGAAACAGAAGCTTGGTAAATGCTCGTATTTGAGATTGATCCAAAAGCAACCAGTTTCGTCATTAGCCGCCATGATTTGAGATCGAAGCGGCTTGGAGAAGTCAATCAACACTTTCACTTTGATGAAATTTCGAGCCATTTCTGGACAGGAATAGAGGCCGACTTCAAGCACCCTGCCGAGCGTGGCAGCAGCTACCTTGCGGCCGAACTGCGTAGTAAAATTAAAATGGAGATAGTGGGTCAAGGATAAATCCTGCAGAAGAATTAACTCGATCCCGCCGCACTTAAATTCCAGCGTACCTGAGGTCTCCACCGGCTTGCCTGGGCGCGCAGACTCGTCGAGGGCTGCTCTTGCTTCTGTGAAATTGCAGAAGCAGCTCGGGTAATAGCCTTCCCTAAATAGGAGGCCATGCCGCAGTAACCTGAAGGCAGCAGGTAGGGATGGCAATGGGTAGGGTCGGGTGCGGGTTTACCCTATACCAACTCCTAACCCGCCGGGTAGAGCCTTCTAAAATACCCGACCAAATAATCACCGGGTATGAAAATTATATAACCATACCCTACCCACCGGGTAACCACGGGTATTCGGGTAACCATGGTTAGCGGGGCGGGTATAACCGGGCGGGTACTATCGATTACCATACCCGTACCATACCCTTTATTTTGAAACCGGGTATTACCCATACCCGCCCCTTAACCCGTCAAAGCGGGTAATTACCCTCGTTGACCGGTTACGGTCGGGTAGGATACCCATGGTTACGGGTTGGATTGACATCCCTAGCAGCAGGAGACCCATACGCGTTGGGATACGATTTATCTCGGATTTTTCCATTTTTTTTTAATTTTGAAATTTTGAAAAATGCAGATTCTGAGGATTTCCCTCTCTGGTTACGTAACCGAGTGAAAGCCAGGAATCCTAAACCGTCTCCTTTATCCGAAGATCGAGGAAAATAAGGATATCTAGCGGGTTTGGCGGTCATCGGAAACCTCGGGCAAACCGTTTTCCTCGACGGCAGATCACAAGTTGCTGGCCGGAGGTGGGAAGACCCGCCATGCACTGATGGCCCCGTAGAACTATTGATCGAACTCGTCCTGTATTTTTAAAACAGCTTTTCGCAGAAGCTCCAAATCGGAGCTTCTGCTTTTATGTTATACAAAAGCGCTTTTCGGCTTTTCAAAAGCCGAGCTTTTACAGGTGTTTGGCCCTGCTTCAGCTTTTGAACCCGAAAAACACTTCTAAAAGTCGGGCCATACATAGGTAGACATTTTAGTTAAAGGGATGCAAAGGATCACGTTCCACTTCATAGTGCAATGGCTAAGTTCAGTTAACCAACATACCCTCGAAAGCGATATGTTAAGCCCTCGGCTCTCGCCCTATCAACAAATGTAAAAAAATCATTATCCCGTATATCTCAAAATCAAATGGTAAATAAATAGGTAAAACAATTATGAATGGAAGGTTGCTTGCCGAAATGGACATCTTAATTCCTTATTAAAATGGGGGAATTACAGAACAAAAAATTCTGTGGCGAACTTTGAATTGAATGGAATGAAATGTTGAACAATGCCTGACCAGACTAGTAGTAGTGACCACGCTTGCTCAATTTCAATGAGCCCACGTGATGATATCGTATCATTGATGTCCATTCCAATCCAATCCCTATCAATCACCTCGCTCGCCCTTGCTTTGTCTTAATTAGCATATAAATAATCTCTCACTGGGATTGGGCAATATATTTATAGTTGAATCTCTTTTTACAACTTCGATTATTAACATAATAATACAGTTGATTTAGATAAGTGCTAGTGTGTTCGAATTTCTAAACTTTAAGTATGACAAATTTGTACAAATATTATGCCCATGATATGACTTTCACTTCCACCAACATATACGAATATAATATATGATCCTCGTTAACTTTTTTCAACAACTTAAATTATTTGTTTCAAAAAAATGTTGAATTATTAATAGAACCAAACCGTTTTTGACATGAATCAGTTAAAGAATAATAATTAGAAAGCAAGTCTTGGAAGTGAAGTGTAGATGAATTGTAAACATGTGCGGCATTGAATCTTCAACAATTCTCTTACCAGAGAAAGAAATTAAACGTATTTAGAAGAAAGGAACTCGAAAGATTTGGCGTTTTTCAAGTACTATAATGACACTCAACTTGTATGAAGTTACTATTCTCCGAAGATGCCATTTTAATTAGCGTTCACTTATCCATTCCTTATTTTCTTGGCCATTGCACTGCAAAATATATTCTCAACTAATTAGCTTGCAATATTTATGAGTTGCTCAAACATATGAAGTTTAGAAAAATATACTAGTGAAAGGAATTATCTCAATTTTATCAGAGTAACAAAAAGTATTGTATTTTAACTCCTCTTTACTGGTTCCGCCAGATTTTTTTGCGAGTGACAATATCATGAGAATAAAAACGTTAGACCAATAACTTTTCTTTCCATTATAAGATAACGTGAATGTAATGATCACATACGTAATTATCAAATACGTCAAGTCAAAATGTGAAAATTAGATCATAAAATACCATTTTGCCCCTTGCATTGCATGGCATTTCTCTTCCATGGAAAAGCTGAAGCTAGCTAGCCAATACATGCACTCGTACCTTCAATATGGTGCATGATTTGATCCCAAAGATTGAGCTTCAGAAAGAGGATAATTGAGTGAAGAAGAAGATAAGCGAGGAAACCAATTAGTACAGAAAAGCTCACTGAATTCCCCATTGATTGGGTTCATATATGTTTGTAGAATATATGTTACAAAATACGATCCTCAATTCTGTCCAACTTTACAAGAAGGGTGAAAGGGACGAAAGGGGGTAAAGCCATTACAATAGCCAAAAGTTGCAACGAAGATCGAAACAGAGGACTGAATGACTCACTAAGAACCCACAAAAACAGAGCTACTCTGTTTACTCTGAACTCTCTTTCAAACATTTCCTTTACCAATTAGGATTACTGGTTGCCGTATAATCGGAAGTAGTCATCAACAGCTCCTCCAAGTAATCGGCGCCCAAATCCTCCAGCACCACCATATTCAAATGATGACGAGGAGCTCTATCTTTCTTCCCTTTTCCGATCATTTTCCGCCGCAACGAGTGCTTTCTCTTTAGGGCAATCACCGGCGAGCACCCTTCCTCCGCCACCGCCGTCCGGAGGTTGCAATCGATGTCCTCCAGCGACTCCGCCACCTTTTCCACCGGGAAATTGAGTATCGCCCCGGCTCCCCGCATCGAAAATGCCGCCTGGTCATACGCCAGCGCCGCAGCCTCCGCGCTGTCGAATGTCCCCAGCCAAACTCTGACTCCATGTCGAGTAGAATCCCTTATCTCCGCCGCGAATTTCCCCCACGGCCGCCGCCTCACCCCGCGGAACGACTTCTCTTTCTTCGGCGGCGGGGGCGGTGATGCCTCGCAGGCGGCTGAGCTGACTTCCTCTTCTTTGATCATTGCCTCCGTGGCTCTGCTGCTGCAGCAGCTGGCTGCGGCGGAGATGAGGCCAAAAAGGAGCATTTCATCCGAGTCGTTTTCGTTGAAGGGTAGCGGCGGCGGGGTTTGGTCGGAGGATTGGCTGGAGAATTGGTCCGGGGATCCGAAGTCTGAGGATTCCGAGGAGGAGAAGCCGGAGTTTTGGAAGTTGAAAAATGAGGGTTCCATAGGAATTGGAGATGGGTGAGATTAAGTGCTCTGTTTCTCGTTGTATGCTTTTCCTTCCTCTGTTTTCTTGGTTTGCAGAATTGGAAGCTTTGGCGAGCCTTATTTATATCATGCAAAGGATCGTGTCCACTTCATATATAGTGAAATTGGCCAAGTTCAGTTAACCAGCCTAAGCATCGAAAGCGATATCAAACCCCTCCCCAACTTTATTTATCATGGAAAGAAAAATGCATTCTTACTACTTATCTGCTGATTATTATAATGGAAAATCTGAACAATTTGAATATATATGGATTTTGCTAGTTATTTGAACTTGGAGCCTCTAGATTATACTAAGGCCTAAATAAACATGTATAAGTTTAGGGATCTCCCGAATATTGGGTAGTTGTCGAAAATCAACAGTTTAACCACCAGACCAAGTCCTTGTTTGCACTGTTACTTTGTTAAACTCCAAATCACAGTGACTTGGGGTTTAGCGATTTGATCTCTAACGTTGATCAACAATGCTATTGGAATAATGTGATGGTTAGATGAGAAAAGGTCAGCCTCTCTTATGACCCAGACGACCACTTGTCAATGATCTTATCAGTGCTGAACCGGGATTAAGAAAAAGCAGTCGATCTGTATACAACAAAGCTTTCGACTGTGCATTGTACCTTGATATCGATCTACCTAAGAACAAAGAGGCGATTTGTCTTACGCAACGATCAATAGTTAGTGGCTCGTTCGACTTTCATATGCATTATATAAGGGTACACATTTTGATTGATGTAGGCATACTCAGCCGACATGTGAAAGAGTGCGATCGACTGTAATTATAAACCATACATACACCATGTTCACTATACGGATCAACCCAATCCCTACACAGCTCAATCAATTTGTCTGCTCGACTCTAAAGTTACGGTAATTTGGAGTTTTAACAAACTCACCGTAAAAACGCAATATTTCTCGTTAAATTGACATCTTAGGCCCTCATTAAAAAAGGGGAAACACAGGGCACAAATATTTGGCGCACAACTTTGAATTGAATGGAGTGTTCAACAACAATCCCTGACCACCAGACCAGTGACCATTACCAATCTGCTGAATTTAAACGTGATGATATCATCCAATCCCTGTCAACCACCTCCCCCTTGCTTTGGTTTAATTAGCAATTTAGCATATAATCTCTGATTAGGGCCATATTAGTAAGCTAATTCACCTGTCAATTAAAGAAAAATCTGGCTGAGATTAAATAATCCATAATTTGTTTTTGTAATGTTTACTGAGCTATCAGTAGCTAACTGACTTGACTGGCTTGGTTCTCAGAAGCTTCGTTTCAGCTCCAGCCCAAATATGCATACAGCATACATACGCATCCCTTTAGACTTGGATTATCTTTGATAAATATTATTATCACAAGTAGTGTTTTCCAAATCTTACACTAGGATAGGGTCCTGTAGGGCTCAAGATAGGGTGCATAACCATGGGTTATGCACCCATCAATAACCAAATCTAGACCCTTCATTTAGAAAATCCAGATCTAAGGATGGAGAATTAAAGGCTATTTTTATTTTCACTAGCTTTCTTAATTGACTCATATCTTTTTCGTTTTAACTCGGATTTTAATTTTTTTTGCACAGATGGAACGAGTTCACCGTGCTCTACAAAATGAGATCAATAGTCAATATTTTTTTAGGAAAAAAAAAATTCTGGCCTCTCGGTACCAACTGCATACCATATGGTATCTTCTTCGTTTTTAATTCGTTTTTGAAAACGTTTGCACAGAAGGGACGAGTTCATCATGATCTATTGGATCTACAAATTTCTGGGTGAACAAATTACAGGACCAAAAAACACCACACAATACCATACAATACCACCCTGGTACGGGGTGGTATTGTGTGGTATACAATGTTAAAAGTCGTAAATTACAATTAATATACTTCTACTATCATGTATTCAACCATCCTACAGTATTGGTTTGTTCATACCACCATGGTACGTTTTTCAAAACATAGGTATGCTTTTATTTCAATACCAGTCAATACCATATGGTATAGGCTGGTAAAAAATGGCTCAATATTTTTTTGTTCGAAAAATATATTAAATTGGATATCATTTTGAAGAGCACAATTAATCTGATCTAACTGTGCAAAAAAAATTAAATTTCGACTTAAAATGAGCGAAAAATCGTCCGTCAAAGATTAAAGAGGGAAAAATTAAAGGCTTTCCATGAGAGAGAAGATGCTGATGTCATGCTGATGTGGACGGGTTACTCATGGTTACTCACCATAAGGTTACTCACCTGATCCATTCCCGTCCTGTAGAATTATGTTTCTAAGCTTTCCAGACAGAGTTGAAACAATGAGTTTATTTTTTTTATATAATCCATTACAAAAAATCCACCAGTCAGACAACCTATAGAAAAATACATTCTACATGGAATTAAAAATAAAAACCTGAAATGATAGGGTGGAATGGTATTTTTTGTTTGCAGTCTTGCATATATTGGAGTTTATTGGACTGCTTCGTATACGGTTTTAACCAAAGTCGGACCAAACAGTTTCGATTTAACCTGGTTTAACTCAAAAATTGGACGGATTCTCTTTTCCTTAAAAAAAACTGATGTTAAAACCAATTAAATAAATAAAAATTCAATTAAATGTGAATGTTGAGCCTCTAGTGAGGATGTCGACTCATTTTGTAGCCCTACCTTGAATGTAGTATGTAAATACTTTGCTTATCAATTTAATATCATTTTTCAGGAAATTCAATAACATCATTTATTGTGTATTGATAAATGAACGGGATTACAAATTAGAAAAAGAAATCATTAACCGTCCATAAAAAAATATTGTTTGTATGATACTATCGTCCATGTTAGAAGTAAGGTTGAAGAAGGCATTAGGCATACATAGGACAGGTGATGGGGACTTAGAAAACTCTACACAAATAGCAAAATATGTCATAATTGTCTAGAATCATAGAATCACAGAAAGTTAGAAACTCAAGTTCACATAAACAATAGGTATTTAAAAAACAAGTTTATTCTTCGTCATCATCCAAATAGATTCGACCAACCATCACTTCATCTTCATCATCCTAAATAAAACATTCTCCTCATCATCCTCATCTTCGTTCTTGTCAACCTCGAAGGAAAGGAGGGGAGCAAAAGAAGCTTTATAACCTAAACCTGTGATTAGTATTCCAAATTAAGGGAAAGGCCCAGTGCTGTCAAAGCCGAACCGAGCCGGACGGCCGGACCGTCAAAGCCGCCACCCGGCCATAAAACCGGCTCGGATTAGCTATTTAACCGCCACGGTTTTATACAGCGGTCGGCGAGCGACCGAAGCGGTTAACCGCTCGAGCCGCTCAAGTCGGTCGTGCGGTTCGGCCGTTTGGTTTACCCTTAAAAAAAAATAGAAAAGGAATCGTGGAATTGGGCAGCCAAACAAAACCCTAACTTTCCTTTTATTTCTCCATCTTCGACCTAGAAGTAGAAGTGTAGAACAGACGACAGAGGGAGAGCGGCGCCACGCTGCCGCCGTCAACCATCACCCCAGGCCCCCAGCGCTTCCGTCCCGTCGCTGCAAGCAGCGCGCCATCGCCAGTCGCCATCGTCGCTTCTGCTCCCCGCTCCCGGCACAAGCAGCTCGCAATCGGCGCAAGCAGCGCCATCGCCAGTCGCCATCGTTGCTTTTGCTCCCTGCCGTCGTTGCAAGCAGCCCCCTGCAGCCTTGCTCCTGCCGCAACATCTCCCCCAACCACTGACCTGCTCCAGCCACTGACCTGCTCCAGCCATCTCACCTCCACAGTCCGCAACATCTCCCACCAGCCGACTCACCTCCTGCTCGAGGTAAGTTAATTTTGTTAAACCTAATTGATGCAAATTTCTGGTTGATTGTAATGTTAATTTGCATGATTAAGAAGTGTCTACTATTACAGATGCCTGTTTATTAGGTACCGGTTCTCAAACGGTTTTTAAACGGTCTAATGTCGGCTGGACCACTAATGACCGAGCCGTTCACGTTACCGGGTCATACTCCGGCTCGGCTTTGACATCATTGGAAAGGCCGAAGGAGTAAGAACGTGCATTAAAGTTAGTTTGAGAGATTGTCGTTTTCCAGGAAAGGCAATTGCCCCTTTTTTTTTTCCTTTGGTTCACAGCTATGCTTGAGCGCACCTCCAATTCTCTACATCTAGATCTAGTCATATGCAAAATTACACTTTGTCTATCCAATAATGAATTTAAGACCTCAATCTCAACTAACCCAAAAACGAATCTAACAGCGGATTCTTCTTTTTGGAACAAATGCGCTTCCACTATTGATAAATATTCAAAGAAAGCAGGTTGCACTATTTATTTATAATAATAGAGTTGTAACCTCTAAATTGACTGTCAAAGTCTTGCAGTCAAGACTTATTAGCTTTGATCATCGTTTGGTATATTGAACGAATACTGAAACCCATTTGAAGAAATCACAGGTATCCTCAACCTAAATTCATCATTGAGCAACGAAATGGCCTACAGATTCAATTCACCTTATCCTCAAACTCCACACTGTAATTTTCTTTGTTCTCTTCTCGCCAGTTTTAGAGAAGGATTTTCGGTTTCATGTGAACTCAGTTTGGGAAAAAGCATCAAAATTTGCGCAAGAAATTTGACAGCGACGAATTCCTGCCATCAGAGAACTGCATCAGAAGTATATTAGTAGATTTAGAGGGAAATCATTATCCTAAGACTTAGAGTACAATCAGTCACAAATACAATTTGCAAAAACAAGTTCTGGGTTTAAGGGTCTAGATTCAGGGCCTCCCTGCATGCATAGTATACTATAGTCAATGTGCTTCATTTCTTTTCCCCCAGTCTTCTTTTCCTGTCAAAGTCATCCAAAACTTTGAGATCAATGGAAATGGAAACCTTTGAAAGTCCTCCAAAAAAGAAGGAATTGAATACTGTTTCTTGGAGAGCTACGGTTACTCAATTAATTGTTTCTTTGTTTCGAGGGCAGCAC